GGTTTTCAAAAGTTAAGGTTTTCAAAAGTTAATGATTTTTGTGAGTTTGAAAGGGAACAAACCTCAATTGGATTAGTCTTTGTCTATTACTTCTTAATGGAGAGAATAAGTACAGATATCAGATTACTGATAAATTGTGAAATCTTGTTTACATTTCGTTTTTTTTTTTTTCTTTGATAGGTGTTTGATCAGTACTTAAATTTAACTTTTTTGGAAGATGAAATGTTTACAGTGAGAAATCAAGACAGAGATTCAATATCATACTATGGTAAGAACATTCTAGTTGAAAGTCTGCCAGTGGTGTCTAAACAACTTACAACTTGTTTATAGAAAGATGGTGGAAAGGTACAGATAATGATCAGGATTTTTGTTTTCCCTTTGATATCTAAGAGTGACGAACACCTGATTTCTCCTACATTAAGGTCAAAAGAACAATTGAAATGATCATCAACTGGAGAATTTTTTGATTGTTTAACAAATTCTCGTTCTCAGCTCCTTAGAAAATGTATGGAGAAGAGTATTGAGAACATTCATACTGATGTTAAGATGTAAAGAGTTAACTAAAAAAGTGTCTTTATTTTCCATCACTTAACAGACCAGATGCCAAAGATACAGACATTGAAATGCTAAGAGATGTTTTAGTGGACAGGCTCTTTAGTGTACTGGTGTCTTTAGGTAAGTTGATTTTCATAAAGAGAAGAAAGTGTTCTTACTTTAAAACCTTCATGATCTCTATTGAGTTTCAAATTGAAATGTTATGGAATATGCTCATCACATTGTGTGGGAAAGGCATAAAAGTTTCTGTAGTTGTCTTTATGCAGGAAAGGACAATATACATTTAGTTTCTTTATTTCTTCAGGGACTATCCCAATAATTAGATGTGCAAAGGGCAATGCTGCTGAAATTGTAGCAGAGGTAATCAGTAGCTTGATATTATTTTTCTTTTCATTTGCCTTCTCAAACAAAACAAATAGTTTTGGAAATCCTTGGTTTTTCACTCCCCTCTCAAAAAGCTACTCCTCCAACTGGCCATAACTTCAAACAAGCATCCCCACTCCACCCCCCCTCCTTGAATTAGTGCCTTCTCTCGTTCCCCTGTTTTCAAGGAGGTGCACAGGGATTTTGAGTAGTGGTCTTCTTTAATCATTGTCATTTGGCCTTGCAAATTAATACTGTTCTCATCCAGTTTTCATTCAGTTGGAAAGTTCATGACAAGTGCCAATTGTACTGCTTTTAAAACTGAAGGGCCCAATCATTTAACCAAAGTTTAGCTGTTGTTTGACAAAACTGCGTCCTATGTTATTTTCAAAATAAAGTAAACACTTTAGTCACTTATGGGACTTATTTTACAAAGGTATGACTCTTTTATAGGGGCTGGATAAAAAGTTGAGAGAAAACCTAAGAGATTCTAGAAAGTCTGTTTACAGCAGATATTCCATCTGACCAGTTCAGGTTTGTGAAGATGTGCACAGCATCAATGGTATGCTTTTAAAAGTTGTGACACCTTTGGCCACAGGCCTTGCAACAAATCATGTGAACTCCTGGTTTGAATTCTTACAAGGATCACCGTAGGATTGATTAAATGAGTTGCAGTGACTTGATTTTGTAAGCAGCACTCACAAAGCAGTTTCTTTTTTATAAGGCCAATCTGTGGTGGTCAAGACTAACATAGCTTTGCAACATCAGTTTTCAGCGACCAGTGCTAGTAATTTTGGATCATAACATGGATCTGTGTACCCCTTCACATCACACATGGACATACCGAGCTCTTGTGCATGATGTCCTTGTAAGTGAGAGAGAAAGCTT